GGGTTTTTGACCTAGTGGTAATAATCACTTACTCTTGTAGCGATGATTATTACCTTATAAAGATTCTGAAATACCTAGTAACACAACATTTTTGCATAATATTAATATTAATATTAATATTAATACTAACTAATATTTATAATATGAATATGAGTACTAATTTTATTATATTTACAATATATAATAACTAAAATAATATAATAAAAATTATTAATATTTAATCATATTAATATAGTATATGAGATTATATTACAATAAGAAGATGTCCATCATATATATTATTAAGCTTAAAATATATTAATAATTATAATAAATATAATTTATCTGGGGATGCATCACATATATTAATTAAATATAATATATTTAAATATAGAGATAAATTATATCTCTATATTTTGTAAGATTTTGTGTAATATTCAAGTCTGAAATTTAGTTCGGAATTAATTTTAAAATTTTAAATATATATATAAATAAAATTTTGAAATTAATAAATTTTTATTTAATATAAAATTATGAAAAAAAAGTAGGTTGATGATGAAATTAAAAATAATTTTGGAGAAAATAGGTGAAAATTTGGGTTTGGAGAATATTATTTTTAAAAAATAAGAAATTAGGGGTCAAAACACAATTAAAAAAAATTATGCCACTTAGAACCGCCCAGTCAGTAGTCCCGACGAACCGGAGCGCACCGTGTGGTAAGACATGCTGATTTGGTGTCACACTGGCAATCCGTGTGCCTACGATCGGACGACCCAGATGCGTTATGTGCGCATGGACAATTCGAATCCGTTCCTTCCTCAAGCGTTATCGGATGGTTGCGATTAAATATGATGAACGGTCCAGACTCATTTCTTCTTTAAAAGTGATTGTACGGTCGAGATAAAATCACGATGAACGGTTCAAATTCATTTTCTCTTTAAATACGATCGAACAGTCGAAATCAAACGCGATGAACGATCCACATTTAAGGGAGACGGGTATAAATATCTCACATCACACCAAACTCAAACCTTAACTATCAGCCCTCGGCTAGAGAAAAAGAACCAGTCACTGGAAAAGGGAGCAGACTGCCACCCGACGCCACACCGGAGCCCCCTCCGATTGCCAAAAAAAGTAAAATTCTCATATCTGCTCGGAATTTAATTTTGAACACCCTCATGACCAAATTGGAGCAAAAAGAACAGCGGATGAGCCAAACATTGTGGGTAAAGCCTGGTGGCGCCATTGCTGGCAAAGCCAAAAATCACATCTGATGAGCCCCTTCTCGATTCCCGTTTCGTGCGATTTTTTCACCATTGTGTTCACCATTCTGTTTTCCACATGTTGACTGAAGAAAAACGCCCAGCTACGAAGGTGAGCTGGCAGAACTACCGCACCGAAAAATTCTGCCATTGATAAGTTTTTGTTTTTCGATTTTTTTCGGCCAACTGAGGCCCCCTAACATATTTTCTCGCAATGATATGTATAAAACCAGCTAAAACCGGCCAAAATTGGCTGAAAACGGCTAATTTGAGGCAAATTATCGCCACGG